AATATAAAGAAATTAATATGCAAATGTTTTCTGATTAATATATGTTGTGAAGGTGAATACTTATATAGATTTTATTTATATCTATTTTACATTCTTTCTACTTATACTTAAAATCAGTAATTTGATCTTAATATTACATGAATATACACATACCTGTACATATCCACATATATACACATACAAACACACACATGCACACACACATACATACACACCCACATTCACACACGCAAATAAATACACATATATATATGCAAACATACACATATACATATAGGCATATATAATACACACATACATACATACACACATATAAATATACATACATATACAAACATACACACATATTCACATACATTTTCTTTTTTTAAAATTACAAATGATTTTTTGTTTTTAAAAATATTTTAGTTGAATTTTTGTAATTTTTGCACTATCTAATTTGGTAGTATTTAGATCCCTTCCCCTATTCAGTTTCTGTTTTTGTTCCCACCCAGTTAACTTACCCTATTATATATCTAATAAGGCCTATAGAGTCAAATTTGTGTCCCCAAATGTCCTTTACTGTGGGTTCATTCACTGGAACCTGGTTAACCTACCAGGAGTCCCACCCTTGAAAGACTGCCTCTTGCCCTCCCAGCAGCTATCAGTTGCCACAATTTCCTTAGGTTGGGATGGGGTTTCTTATCCACTTTCCTATGTCTATGCTGTGATTTTGCTCAACTGAACCAAAGATCTATCATTTTCTTCTACTTCAAGTGTTCAACATTTTTCTTCTTATACAGCATTTTAATTCATACTGTTATAATGATCGATTGACAAAACTACTTCATGTCTCTATGAACAAGAAGGAAATATCACATTCATTTCTACATTAATAAGTGTTCCTTTCAGTAATTAATTTGGACTCATTTGAAATACTCAGCTATTTACTACTCTTGTAAATAAGAGGTAATAGGCAATTAATCACAGTGCATTGTTTGTACATTGATATAGCCCATTATAATACATTGAGATATAATTGTGTTATGACATAATTTTTGATATAACTAACTTACTCATTACACGCATATACTTTTCTATTCTTACAGTTAGGCTAATATTTTATGAAACTTGCTTTCTACAAGTTTTTATAACAAGAAAAGACTTTTTAAGAGCTGATATATTTCTATTTAAAATATCACACAGTTGAAAGACATTTCTCTCAATGACAGTACACAGTTAATTTTTAATCTCCTTTATGATTTCAGAATTGCTGTTTATCGTAGGCTTTAAATTGTGCATTTAGACTTCAAGTGTCTTCACTGGGGGAGGTATCACTCTTTGCAGTATGTGGAGCCAGGCAAAGAGCTGGCTTATGAAGCTCCAGGAGCTTTCCCTCTGAGCTCAGCTCATCACTACAGCTCTCTGGTGGCAGCCTTCTTTGCACTGTCTCCTACAGAAGCTGAAGGAAATGAAGTTTGCCTCTCATTTGTTACTCTTCCTTAAACACAGCAGATGTTACCATTCTATGAATGGTCTTGTATGAAAGTGCTTCCATTTTCTTGTTTGATTTCCTATATTCTATAGACTCAGGAAGTTTTTCTTCTCTTTTAAGCTTAGCTCTACCTGTCCTCTATTGGAGCAAGTGGCAAAGATGAGAGAGTTTTGGAAAAAGGAATGAGACATAAGCAAAGTATACTTCTGTACATTTTAGAGGAACTGAAAGTCTATAGGATTTCCCCAACAGGCAGTCAGCTTGGAGAGGAGTCCTGAAGCAAGCTATTACTCACTCACTGCTGTCCTGTCGTTGTCTTGAAGAACAATTTGTCATTTCAAATAATACCAAAATGAAATGCACTAAATCTAAGAAATTTACTGTGTTCCAGCACATGACAGCTTTCACAAGGTCTCCTGGACTTTCTACTCACTTACACAGACAAGTCAGAAGTTCAGTTTCAATAGACCAAGACAAGTACCTAAATTGTCTCTAACATAATACATGCATATTGTATAAATACTATATTCATATACTTAAATGTACTTAACTACTGTGTTTGTGATATAAGCATATTTATATTCATTATAGTTGTATACATACATGTAGACACACATGTACCAACTATAATTCAATATTTTATATATGCCTACATAAGCCTTACAAGCTAATAAAGGGAAGAGTTAACCTAACTTAATGACTTAATGTAAATGTCTTACTTTAGTGAGGTGCCACCTGAAGTTTCATGTTTATATTAGTATAGCATGGCAACATTTTCCAAAGAATTGTTCATTTTTTCAGGCATACAAATATGAACTAATCAGAACATCATGGAACAGAGTTCTAGAGCTAAACCAAACCTGTCCTATCACTTTGTCCTTGTGCATGTCTTTGTTTCCTTTGCGTGTGTAAGCTGCAGGTGTCATGCATCTCTTACTATCAACATGATGAGCTATTAGCTGAGAATGTACAACAAATAAAACTGCATTTCTGAAAGTACTCATGGGAGAAATAGAGTCTTTAATCAATTCCACTAGGCCTTTTTGGTAATTAAACAGAAGAGTTTAGATATGGTGAGAATTTTAAGACCTGTTTCAGTTCAAACTTCAGGGGATTATATAAAAATCCAGAATTAAATCCTTGACAGAATTATCTTCAGAATTGGATGCAAAGTGTAGATACTTAAAGAGTTTCTATTTTTAGTGATAGGTAGATATAGCTGGGCAACAGAAGGAAAGTCTATTATTATGAAATGACATGAAGTATTAAAGACGACCCACCCTCTATATATTTGTAGTTTTCCACAAAAATGCCAGGTGGCAACGTGCCGTGCTGCAGTGAGCCTGGTCAGTATTTAGTGGCACTGACAGATGCACCATATACAGAATAGACAGTGCATATTATAGGAGAAGTTACAAATACTTAATGCTGGAAGATGTAACAGATAAGCCAAGGTTAGCTGTTTTCTGTCTTGAAAGTGGGACACAACTAGAATAAACAATGTACCTTGCAGTTACAGGGCCCAACACAAGGGTCCTCATTTGTGCTCCCTAAGCCACTGCAGTTGCAGGGTTGGCAGTCTGGGTAGCCACTGTAGCCCCTGGCACACTGACCACAACTCATGCCTCCAAAGCCAGTTTTGCAGTGACAGGATCCTGGTGTCAAACCTAAGGGAAGAGACATTACATATCAGCACTTTTAAAGGAAATATATATAATGTAATTTTTGAGGTTTGAATTACAGTTACCTTTATGTTCTATTTTGACACCCAAATTGGATTCTTCTATACATCAATAAAGTTAAAACTAAAGGGTTTGAAGCTTAAATAAATTCTTGCACTGGTTATTCTAACAGTAGTACTATGTATCTTTAAAAATATTATGAATGAAGCCGGGCCTGGTGGTGCACGCCTTTAATACCAGCACTCGGGAGGCAGAGGCAGGCAGATATCTGTGAGTTCAAGGCCAGCCTGGTCTACATAGTGAGTTCCAGAAAAGCTGGGGCTACAGGGAGACCCTGTCTCAAAAAGGCCTAAAAAGTAAAAATAAACAATATTATGAATGAAAGGCAGGGGCTGGTGAAATGGCTCAGTGGTTAAAGTATTTACTGTACAAGCATGAGGATCTGAGTTTGTATCCCCTGCATCTACATGAAAGCTGGACATGGCAATGCATATGTGTAACTTCAGCAATAAGGAATCAGGGAGGGGCAGAGACAGACAGACCCACAGAGCTTGTTGGACAGTGAGTGTAGTCAAATGGATGAATTTCAGGCTCAGTGAGAGACCCTGTCTTAAAAAAATAGTACAAAGAGCAATAGAGGAAGACAACCAACATTAACCTCTGACTTCACAGTCATGCACAGAAAAGTGTATGTATACTTTCACACATGTCCTGCCCCATGGACATGTACACACACACCACACATAAACTGTAAAAAAATAAAATGAAAGATAGAAGGATGACACTGAAGTATCCATGAAAGTCCAGCTACTGTTTAACAGGCCTACAGGAAACAAAAGTAACAGTGGTCAAGAGGTGCTTTCCATAAACTATGAGGCAAATGATGCTACACTGTGAACAAAAAAGCAACACTCTGCATATCTGAAACCAAACAAGCCTGTCCACCACAACACAGATGGAGGAGGCCTTTGGGAATAAACACTGATTACATACAAAAACTTAGCAATGTTAATCTGTTAATCTAAGGACATTGCCATTACACCACCACTGAAGAAATGCCCATAGCGGGCATTCATGGGAGATGGCTTTTGGACATGGAAGAGGGCTATGAAAGCAGGTTCAATGTCACCTTTTTTTAAAATATAGAGAAATGTAAAAGGCAATTTTTCGCCACATGAACACTTTTAGTTTCTTCTTTAGAAATTCTGTCAGGGATGCTACTGCTGCTCATGACTTTGATTAGAAAATGGGAAAAAAAATAGGAAAAATGTCAAATGAATGAATGTAAGCAATAGGCTTTCAAAAGATGGAAAAAAAGAGGAAATCCATAAAATGTAGTCTTCATCAGGCAAAGACAAAAGAGGAAGAAGAAATCAGATTATGCTATGATAAAAAGCAAAACTGAATGAAAGGAATATTAAATATATATGAATTAGTCAAATAGATTTGACATTATTACTAACATGTTTGTGTAATATGCACAAGAGCGATAAAATGGCTAGAAATATTGAACATAAAGAGCTTATGTATACATAAGGAAAGAATGTATAAAAAAAAGGAAAAATAGATTCAGTAACCATGATTAGAGCCAACAAATATACACTCAATGCAACAATTTTCATTTAAATCGATAAAGATGTAACAAAGTGATTTGTTACAGTTTTGCTTCAAAAAAGTACCAAATATTAGTTCAGAAAGATACAGACAACCAAAGACATTAGAAATAAAAAAATATTTTTCAGGGCCGGGCATGGTGTGATTTCGAGGCCAGCTGGGTCTCCAAGTGAATCCAGGACAGCTCAGGCTACAGGGAGACCCTGTCTCAAAAAGACCAAAAAACAAAAAAATTGTTCAGAAAAAAACTGGCTCAGAATGACATCAAACTACATTAAATATTTACAGATGAATTGGAAAAAAAAAGATATTTGAATTATATATTTTCAAGTGCATAAATATTTACCAAGGTTTATAGTCGTTTACTTTATAAACATCGTGGATTTATTAAGGCAGAAATTATCTGAGATCAGGTTAAAATTTATCATGGAAAGTTGAAAGGAAGAGCAATATCAGAAATTTTCTAAGATTTAAAACAAAAATCTAAAAAATGTTAGAATCTTTGTTAACCTAACACTGTATCATATGTTTACTTTTTTTTCTATTCTATTTTACTCCTTTTGTGTGTGTGTGTGTGTGTGTGTGTGTGTGTGTCTTTTTTGAGATAGGGTCTTTCCAAAGAAGACAAGCATTCAGTAATTGAGATATAAAGAAACTGTTCCAGACACAGTATATGCATATAATTTTTGGTTTGTTGATTTTTATTTTATGTGTATGAGTATTTTGCCCACATGTAAGTGCACCTGTGTGTCAATACCTACAGTGTCCAGAAGAGGGCATCAGATCACCTGGAACTGGACTTAGGAACAGTTTTTAGTTGCTATGTCGTGCTGGGGAATTGAACCCAGGTCCTTAGTGAATTGAGAGAATTCCTCAGGGAATTGAACCCAGTGATCTTAACTGCTGAGCCATCTTTCCAATCCCAAGACACAGTATATGAATTTAATACTTAAAATGTTCAAGACAATCGACCTGAAAAAGCTCCCAAATATTTAATATTAAGGAGTTAGGTTTTCATTAATATTTTGAGTTCAACACAAATTTCATTGTATTTGGCTTAAATTAATGTCATCATTTTCCCCATCTTTAATTCATGATACTATCCTTTGTCCCTCACAAACACTTGATGTCAACGCTGTCACCAAAGTCTCACCAGGCCATCACTGTTTGCTTCCCAATGTGATACACACATTCCTCAGTGAATGTTTCCCCTTTACATTAGAACTACCTGAAGCTACAAAACAACCTATGTAACAAGATATGAAAAATTACATACATCATGTTAGCAATTTATACACATGTACACTTCTGTTTATGCCTCTTTCTCTCTACATACCCCCATAGAGTCATCCTCATAAGACCATTTTTGTCAAGGACACACCACATAGATGACAGTGGCCCCATAAGATTACATTACTTATGGACACTGTAGTTGTACAGTTCACACTAGGACATTTTTACAACTAAAATGTAAAATGACAAATTTCAGAATTTATCCCTCCCATGAAGTGACATGTTACTGCACATGTATATCAAACAGATGATCTGACTCTTCTTGCTTTTAAAGCATTATAATTAAGCATAAATTTAATTTAATTATAGTGGTGAATAAAAATCGGGTCCTGGAGACAACACTGATAGATGTCAGAATACTGAGCGTATGAATGGAATTGACTGCAAAATACTTCAAAGAGAATCATATTTGCTGTCAGTCCTGTTTTCATCACAGCAGTGCTCTACGGTGCCTCACCTCGCCGGGCATATTTCTCATCCTTGACACAGACTTCACTTAAAGAACCAACTGGATCACAGTGACATGGCTGACATGGTCTTGGATAATTTGGTGACACCTAAAAAATATTTCAATGCTTTAATCAAGTGAATTAGAAACACCAATATTTTCAACTTAGCAAATATTTAAGAGCAAATTAGTTTTTAAAATACACAGTAAAGTTTGGGTAAAATTATAATAATTTATCTTTAATATATGTTGGCAAGTTCTCAAATTCATTTTTTCCTAAATGGAAACACAGAGTAAAGCGCATGGTACTATGAACTTAAATACTTGTCTTTCGGATTCAGTAATCATATGGTTTTGCCATAGAAGTTTCATCATTTTTCAGCTTTTGCAAGATTTTATGAAGGAAATCATGATGAGGAGCCTTCAATTCCTATATATTTTTAAAAACCTGTTTTGTAACCACTGAATTATGATCCTAACAAAGAAAAATGGCAGTATTTTCTTGATATGCTTTAATATATATTCTATAATGTAGCTTACCTAATGATTATGCTTTTCATTACAAGAGTATAAAAATAGCAATGTAAAGTTTTGTCCCACTTTACTTCTCAAGAACTTTCACAGTGATCATGGCACAATTATTTAAATAGATGTTTATATTTTTGCTCAAAAAGGGCATGATAAAATATTTAAATTAAAAACTTGCTTTTCTAGAAGCCTGCACAGCCTGGACAGAAACACAGCGGAGTCTGTAATTAGACACTGAGCTCATATCCCAGTGGAGCTACTTACTATATGGCCTTGTACAGTTTATTTACTCTATTATAATACAAGGATAAAGCAAAAAGCTACTGAGATGTTATAGAAAGTAAAATGAAGAATGACACAACATATCTCAGAAGATTTCTGGCATATATTAAGTGCTTAACATATAGGGTGGCTATTACTGTTGAATATTTTAATTAAGCAAATCTAGACTGCTCATAATATGGTAAACATTTTTGGTTTCCAGATTGAATTGGGGGAAAAAACCTAAATTACTTTTCCAAGAAATGAACATATACATACTATATGTACATATTTATACGTGTGTATGGTTATACTTTTCTCTGATAATCTATACCTTTCACATGTTATCTATATATGATGTTAATTTTTAAGTAGAAATTCATTTGCAACTATAAATCACGATGTAAAAACTAGGCTTGTCTACATATCTGATTGATTGTGACTCAGGCTCACAGAACAGTTTCAAAATCATCATTTGTTCAAGACACTTCTAATTATCACCCCCATGAAGCATTATATGTAACATAGACATCCACTTTGCCCTAAACAAGCTTACAGGAAAAGTACTATGACACACAAAAAGTACTATAGACACACAAAAAGACCCTCAGGTATCAAAAGAGAAGGATAAAACCATAACCAGTGAAGTCACGCAGTAATTTTGCGGAATTAGTAACATTTAAACTGGACCTTGAAATAGTGAGAATAATTTAGAATGGCAGTGAGAACCAGGCTTTCTACCCAGAAAAAAACACAAGAAAAAATAAACCTCTGTGACATATTGCAAGAAATAAAAATTCCTTGGGATAAACATTTGACTCTCACTAATATGATTTATGAGCATAGTGATATGCTGGAGTTAGCCAACTCTCAAGTTCATTATCAAATGTCATGCCAATTAGGAAAACCCACGTGAATCATATTGTTGATAAGAAATTTCTAACTTATGAGATTGTATAAACTGACTTGTTCTATAATGATTTTAATGTTATTAGAATAAAAATTTAGATTACTACCTAGCCCTCTAAGTAAACTTTGTTTACAAAGATCACACGAATCACAGTATTTAGTAGATCACAGTATTTAGTAGATAAATCTCTAATCAAATTAAATTTAACAAAACCAAGGGCCTCATGCATGCTGGGTTAAAGGCCTTATCAATAAACTCCCTCTCCAAACTTGAAGACATATTTTTATTTATTAGTTCTAGTATTTCATGCAATGCATTTTGATCATATTCAGACAACCTCCCTCTTTTTCAATCCCTTCCCACTAGCCCCCTTCCAATTTCATGTCCTCCATTATCTTGAGAAAGCTTAGAGGCCTGAGTTGAATTCATGTATTTCACACCTAGCAAACAAGGGATTAAGCCAGCTAAATTGAGTAAAACACCGTGAGATTTCCATCAAGCTGACCTACCAAACCAAATGCATGTCTCAACAACTCCCATGCACCAGTGAGCTTACTACTAATTAGGCCACATTAAAAATCTTCAGAGGAAGAAAACGGAATCTTGAATGTTACATTATATTATCAAATCTTACAAAACATAAGAATCATACATTAGTAGATATAAGAAAATTCAGAAAAACATGGTTATCATTTAACAAACAAAAGTGAATAAAATAGACCCTGAGGTGACCCATGTTGGCAGAATGGCTCAGTGATTACGAGCACTAGCTGCTCTTGCAAAGGACCTGGGTTCGGATCCCAACACCACATGGAAACTAACCATCATCTATCACTCTAGTTCCTAGTGATCTGATGCCCTCTTCTGACCTCTGCAAGCATTGCATGACACAGGTACATACATTCATGCAGGTAATATACTCATACACATAAAATCAAAATAATGAAAATATTTAAAATTCAATGGATGTGTTTAACAGCAGATTAGAAATAGCAGAAGGAAAACTTGTCAACCCAATGGCATGATGTCTCATAGACAGAAACTATTCAATATGAAAATTGGAAAAATATTAAAAAATTAGCTCTAATAATTAAAAAGTAACTTGACATACAAGTAGTTGGAGTTGGAGTCCCAAAGGAAGAATACTTTCATTAAAATAATGGACCACCAGAAATGCATGCCTGTAATCCAAGCACTTGGAAGGTAGAGGCAAGAGGATCAGGAGTTCAAAGCTAGCCTCACCTACACAGCGTGTTTGAGCACAGTCTGGGCTACATGGAAATTTGACAGAACAACACAGCAAAATGAAGTAAATAGTCTAAAATGTCTAAATGTGTACTATAATCTAAGTTTATGACTGCAAGAAGCTCAGTGAACCAAGCACAAAGCACAGAGAAATCCAAGGAAACACATCGCTGTCTCCTGAAGCTGGGAAATATTTTCTGCAGAATGACTGCCAGTGCAATATACGTGCTGTATACCATACGAAGGTTCTCTCTCTGTTGGTCACCCTCCTCCCACTTGTTTTTCTTCTCTTCTCTTGCTCCCTATTACAAATAGTCTTTATAGATGCATAAATAGTTCTTTGCTTTCAGGACACACACAAGCAGAAAAATGGCCCAATCTGGTCTATAGGCTGGCTTTTCAATACTTGGTATAAATACTGAAAGGTGAATCAAAAGGGAGCATCTTCAAGCCAGCCAACTGGCATCTTCCTGAATTCCAGAATACAGGAGAATGAAGGAGGAGGTAATAAGTAGGATACCATCCTGGGCTGAGAAGTGAGTTCCAAATCATCCTCAACTATACAGCAAGATCTTGTCTCAAAATTATTCAACTAATTAACATCATCTACTGAATTAAACAAGCACTACATACAGGACAGCAAAGATGACGGCCCTCATAAGGACTAGTGAAATCTGTCAGATAAAGATACAGCATCTTTA